CGCTAAGGAAAATTCAACTACAGCACCTAATCGAGGATGCCCAAAGGCATCGGCTAAAGTGGCCCACGACTCTGAAGCACATCGTTACTTACGGAACAAGTCTGAGCGATGCTATGATGAAAAGAGAATTTCCAACAAAGCAAGGTGTTAGATTTGAAATTGTTGGATAAAGCAGAAGCTTGATGCTTATAAATCAAAGTCAGTTGGTCTTTGTAAGTGTTTTTGGAGAAATCCACTTATAACAAAAACAAAAGTCTCTCCAATCAACACCTACAGGTGAGGGACATTAACAAAGTAAGCAAGTGCAGAAAATAAATGAGATATTTAAGAAAACTAAAGCGAAAATAACCTGAGCAATGCTGACGCACGTCAGTGCATTCCTGACGTGATGTCACATTACTCACACTCATGTAGTCGTCTCAAATCTATTACATATCAACCGTACTTCTTATTATTCCTATTTGGTGTCGGTGCCATCTGTAGTGATATTCAGCCAGTCCCATCGCTTTACTTCGGTATCACACAAACTGCGATGCCGAGTCATTTTTGTGCGAATTGTAACGCTATTTCTCAACGATTCAATAGAAACTACAAGGAAGGGTTCACCTGGTACGGGAAGAGGCCTTGCTTGTTTGGAATGTGCCAATCAACCCGAGAGTCAGCAAGACACATGACCGCAGGAAGGTTGGTGCTCCGTACAGCTAAGTGGGCCGCCGTGTTACCGAGGTCGTCGGTCAGGTTTGTGTCAGCACCCCAGCTAATGAGCAACCGGATTGGCTCCACTGACCTACCGAGCACGCAACACGCCATCAAGGGGGTCATGTTGTTGGTAGTACGACTAAAATAGAGGATGTCAGTCTTGGATATTACACAACAGGTCTTTTGTTCATAAAACATGTGTCGCAAGAGTGGATTGAAATCAAAGACCACAAGTGGGAACTTCAAGCCTGACGGCCGAATAAGCACCTAGGGGGATACCCTCTTAAGAAGGATTCTATAAGATAAAATTACTCGTTCGTTACAGTGCTGTGATAAAGGGGAAATTGGGGAAAACAAGCGTTTGAGGTCGGAAAGTACAGTAGCACACAAGTTAACAGGAACTGGAGAAAAATGCAGCCAAATTAGAAGCCCTTATTAAAAGCAACACAAGCACAATGGTTATGCAATTTGAAAAATAAATACATCAAAGTATGATGTGCAGTCTAAGACTACCATCAAAACTACAATTTAAGAATACTGTGGAGGGTATGCAAGCTTAACTTGTTCTTTTTTCTTTCGAAAGGAGGATCTTATGACACTTTCAGCACCAAGCAGGTTCAACATACCAATCCACATCAACACCTTTCGCAAGGAGATAGAGGACAATTAAAGTGGCGCCCTCCTGAGCGGCCACGTGGAGGCAGGTCATGCCCTTAATATCGCGCACCATAGGATCGGCACCATAGTGCATAAGAAGGCCGACCATTTCCAGGTGATGCTTTCGTATGGCCCAGTGCAAAGCTGTGGCCTTTTGAATGCCCCCAATTCGGTCGACAATAGCTCCCTTTGAGATGAGATACTTAACTATAGTGAAATTATTGTTGATTGCAGCCCAATGAAGAAGAGAGACACCCTCCTGATCCAGTTGATTTACATCGTAGGGAGCGTTAGGTGAACTCGGTTGGGGCTCGACCAACTCAAGTACGCGGGCGACGATGCCATACTGGGTGGCCTTTACGATGTCCCAGGTCGAGTAGTCCTCGCACAGCGATGCAGCAGAAACATCACGCGGGTGACTATTAGTGGAAGGCGGGATCTAAAAAAATGTAATATCAAGAAGTAGGAAGAGCTCACATGAAGTAAATCACCTAAATTTTCACAATAAAACGTATGAAAAGCTAGACAAAACAAAAACCGGCATGCAGAGGTTGAAAACAAAAAGTAAGAAGAGAGATAAATTATATCTTAAAACCTTACCACCGAAATTACCAACCTGCGTGACAAATAAGCTAATTTATCTACTTATGTTTATTTTTAGTCGAGAAAATGACCACCGAAGCAGAACTGTGGCAAAATAATTGAAACGGTTGTACACTTGTGGCCGTGCAGACAGTTAATTAAGACGATAAAAAAAAACAACTTTATCAATGGAGACAAACACGTAGTAGCAGTTACCTTGCATAAAAACTTCTTTCGCATTAGTGACTTAAAATTGTATTCCAGAAAATTTATAATCAAGGTTAAATGTTCATGGTTACTATTCTAGATCTCCCAGCAAAAACAACGTCTATAGTACGATACTTTCATACGAAAAACAGAGCGTTGGGCGCACTAGAGGTTGTGAAAGAGCCGTCTCACTTAGAAGTCGGAATCTTCTGTTGTGAACTACTATGCGGATAACAACCGATTCACAAGCAAGTTTAAATAACTAATGATGTTTCTGTCTCCAGCTAGACTTCTCTTAAGACATCTCACGTGTTTACAAAATTTTCAGGCTTTTACGTAACCCAACTGATTCAGCTTCCGAAAATTACTCTATGGAAACACTAACCTTTGGGATTTGAGTGAGCCTAGCCTTTACCGACACCCAATGTGGATATTTTAACCAGTCCATCATGACCAAAGGATGATAACCACAATTTGTCGATATCCAATTTTTTAAATGAAAACACACGTTTGAGGATTAAATAAACTATATTCGACACCTCATTTTTAATAGCACCAGTAACACGTTTAGAGAAGCATGATGACAAACGAAGTTAGCTGTTCGTTTGATGAACTTCGTAAACGCTGAACCTGGAATGTCCGTCTAAAAGGGTGGTTATTGTAGCATTAAGAGTTGCTCAACAAGCATATGAATTATGACTTACAGAATTAAATGCGTTCTAGGTAAATTAGTAAAATGAATAACGACTGCTTAGTTTTACATTTTCGCTAATTTTTCGATTGCCATGTAGATACAAGTAAATAAAAGCATTTGGACCAACTTCCTTGCAAGGGAAGATCTTCGAAAATTATCTTGCTTTATTAGTTGAGCAAACATTTTACGCTACAATATTCCTACTGTACTTAAATTTTGGTGGTATCCTAAAGGAATTCCCAGATTTTTCTAAATTTAACACTACACGGGTAAATACAGAATAAGCGAGATTGGGAAATATCCGACGATGAAGTACATAACAATTAAAATTATCATCATAAACTCGTGGGTCAATAAGTGTTGACAACAAGTAATTTTAAAATGCAAGAAATTAGCAAAACCCTAATTCTTTCTGAGTCCTTAAAGGGAAAGGAAAGTGTCACTGGATCATTTACACTGAATTCCCAAGGTAAATTAGGAAGAAATGATCACCGCAAAAAATGATAACAATGTTTAAAACCCTTGCCAACAAAAAATTATTTTGTAAAAGGAAGTATAGACTTATAAAATTAAACCCGACAACACCTACCATCCTTGCAAAAGCCGAAGAGCGCAAGTGCTTGCAGGAAACTCATTTAAAATGCCGGCGAAAATAAGTAAGACTTATAACAAATAAAAGGCCAAGTTGAACAAAGAAACTTTAATATACTTAAATTTTCATAATGATTTTATCAAAAACACACAATTTTTTACTCTTATAATGGTTATGGTTAAGGATTTTTTTAAATTCTACAAATGCAATCCATGCTGGGACGAATGCTTTTTGCATATACTCTAACAGTGATGTATTTGTAATGCATACATTTAGTGTATACGTGTTTTGCAATAAGCTACATGTAAAGTTTTTTATGCCCTATTCGTCATTCGCGAAAACCACGTCAGTGACTAAAAGTCATATTTACTTAGCAATACTTTAAAAAGTAACTAGTTGACCTTATAACAACGAAATTTGATTTCTTCGACTGAGTAAACACTTTTTTCATACACGTTCAAAAACGTGTTTCATTTACCTTAAATAACAAATCTCGTACCAAACACGTATGTGGCTAGGGTAGGTTGACCGATTTAGTGTCAACTTAACGCGGTCCGTTTAACGTATGATGCATTTATCTGCAATGATATAACCTAAATAAGTAGTTGGTCGTCAGTTCCTGTCCTCACGAATGTCAGGCTATGAGAGTTGGCCACCAGGAAAGCATTTGTAGAAAGTCTGGTGCCGAGAAAGTGAGTTTGGGTGAAAGTATGAAATGCGTAACCATAAAGAGCGTCAGGGATGCCCTTGGACTCACGAGCATGCATAAGGAAAGTGGGATTACTGGAAAGTACTGGTGGCCACGGACAGGAAAGTCCGGCAAGCGCAAGAAATGTGTTAATTGTAAGTGACGCTTGGCAAAAATCAGAAGTTTAATTACATGCAGACAAAAAATATGTAAATTATAGCACCTTACTAAAAGAAGTCATAAAACCTTAAGGTAAATATAAAGTTTCAAATAATAGAGATGACTTAAAGCAACAACGATTCGAGGCAGAAAAAGCCCGGGTTTGATTTACCAGAATTAAAATACACGTTTTAAGACACAATATTCCTAAATAGGAGAAAATGCATGAGTTCGTGTAAGAAATTTAAGACACCAATTATATAAAATAATATAAAGAGGAGCGCAGTCAATGTGGTGGACTCAGATGGATGGCGCCTGACGCGTGGTTCTGGCTTGTGATTAGTCAAAAAGCCTGTCCTGTTGTACCAGGCTCCTTCACACTAGGGCTTGGGTATTATACACTGGGTCATTCGATGAAGTTAGGTCTGTTTGGCGTGATAAAATATACAACAAATTACACTTTGTCTAGTCGTAACTAACTTGCGGCTTAAAGTGGTTTGCATACTTCAACCAGTGCTCCAAGGATAATACTATCTGGAACAGTTGCCCATTCATGAAAACTAGATCAATTCAAGCCATGTTTAAGGCATTTTCGTGATTTGGTTAAATCGGTATTAGGAGTTATGAACTTGGTCTTCATGAAATAAATTTGTTAAGCATACTGTATGGTGTACACATCTGCGCATATCAGCCTTCGTATAATCTAGTGGCTAGGTTTGAATTTTTAATCAGAATACCATTTTAACAATTTATTTTCAAATTTCTGGACCGACTATTTTTCTGGTATGACTGTTACTATTACTCTACTGATTTAGATAAAATTAGTAACATTATACCCACACTTGCCGAATTTCAGGACTTGAGTCAATGACTTAATTTTTTTTGATGGCGCGCGATTTGTTAGCGTGTTCGCCTTCCTTTCGCACGTTCGTTCTGCCTGAGGTTGGATTACCTTAGGTGCTTGTTTTCGAAGGGGACATAAAAGACTCGCCCGTATTATTACCAATCTTAATGCTGAAGCGTAATTGAAGACATGGATGATGCAGAATTTTACGACAGTGACAACGTTGACGAGGATTTGGAAGCAAAGCTCTATTCCTTCGTGTACTTCGATCAAGAAGAGATTCGTGTTCCGAGTCCCCAGACTGACTCTTCGAAATTAGACTCATCTTGTCAGGAGCCCACAGATACGAATTTAGCTCAAGACCCTGCTTTACGAACTCCTTTGCCCACTGCAACAAGTCGGGACGTTGGTACACCATTTTCGTGGAGCTTTCCACCAGGAATTGAAAAAGGTGTGACTTCCCTCTCGTCAGTGGCAGATGCTATCTACTTAACACTAACCGGTGAACTTCCACCATCCGTACGTGAGTTACATGTTATGAAGTCTGGTCGTACACCTCGGAATAACAAGCCCATAGCCTCTACCAAACAGTTGCTTTCATTTGATGATGATATCAACGTGACCCCAAATAGAAGCCAAGAAACTGGGAATAATGCACATCTATCCGACACGTCCTCCATGGTCTCTAGCAGCAAAAGTGAAGAGAATGTTTCATTTACAGTATCATCCAATTCTGAATCTGATGACTCAGATCATCTGGACTCCAGTGAAGTTGACGTTCCGGACATTATCTTGGGGGTATCTGATCCCTCTAAGGGTGATTTTATCGCAAATGGAGATAGTGCTTCCGTTATTGCCGACATGCTTCGTAACACCAGTTCTGAACCAGAAAATTGGTACTTGGATGTTGGCGACAGGATTCCTCTCTCAGTTCGTAATAGACGATATTGTGATAATTATCAGAACGATTCTTGTCGTATTTGTTTCGCAAAAGGCCATTTAGCTTTCGAGTGCTGGCGGGTGAGTCGCGTTCAAGTGTTGTTTTTTAAGTTGCAATTAGTCCTGACACGACCCACTCTCTGAATGATTTTTACGTAAAGTGGCATCCTTAGCGAGTCACAACTTTTTTTATTCAATGGGTCTCTCGAATTCACAAGTCGTGGTCATTAAATTGGTGTAACCTGTTACTGAACTTCAGATGTTCTGATTAAGATTCTTATTTTTAAGAAAGGACCGGTCTGTTTCCTCTGTGGCCGAGATGGACATTTAGGTTACAAATGTCCTAACAAGTACTGCTCGGTTTGCTTGAGCCCTGGCCACCGCAACTCAAATTGTCCCCAGCGAAATCGTATGGAGGCTACTATATGCAAGCGTTGCCAGCAACCGGGTCATACCAGCAATGTGAGTTTTGGTACTCTGACTATTATTTTCGATAAGCATTAAAGCTGATTCTACCTAGGACTGGTATTATGCGGTAAAGGTAATGTGTAGCTCATTTGTAAACTAACTTCACTGCACGTTTTTGAGAAGGCTATTGATCTTCAGGGATGGTGGGTAGCATTAGGAGGAAATTAGTACGATAAAAAGTAAGGCTTCAATTTCTGACCATATAATCCAAGTTTGCACTACTGACAGCTCATTAAGTGAACTGTCGAGTGAACAGATGAGCAAACAACTTGGCACCGATAAGAAACCAGACATAAAAATGACTCCGGGAAATTCGAAAGACTTGTGCTATTTTGCAATTACTAAAGATAATAATAAATGCTAATAGATGTTTGATAGAATTTACTTTTGGTTGATATTAAAAGCAAAAAACGCGTGAGTGTCTTTATGGCTGCAAATTTGGAGTTAATTTGGCCACAGAGGGCAATCAGCAACTCTCGAGGCAAACTTCGAATTTTCTGTTTCTACAAAGACAGGAGAGATGGCAATGCCTATAAAGGAATATGATTTTCATGAGGCTGTATGGTTAAAAAAAACAAATATCAAATTTGGTTTCGAAAACCAGTTCTGAAGGTGTTTCAATTAAACAGATGTATAGGCGAGTAAATTTCATTTTTTGAACAAGGGAAAAGTAGATTCATATTTAAGGCCATACCACCAAAGTTTGTACTGCCGACAGCCCATTAGGCGAACTGTCGAGTGAACAGATGAGCAAACAACTTGGCATCGATAAGAAACCAGACACAAAAATGACTCCGGGAGATTCGAAAGACTTGTTCCTGCGCGGTTGTGGTTTTTCGTGTGTACGTCGACGCCGAGGCATTCATAACTGGTAGGTGCGTGTTGTTGAACTGTCTGTTTGCATTTGCATTGGTTGCTACTCAGGTGATTTCAGTACGACTGGACTCTCACTTCTGTCAAGTCGAGTGCCTCTAATTTGGGCGGAGTGAATTGCCTCGGAGTTATGCCAAGTGCTAAGTGCTTGCCAAGCAGTCGGGTTGGTCGCAGTAACAGCTTCATCGTCCTGTGTGACATGCAGTGATGACAGAGATGTCAAACGAACAGAGGAATGTCGGCACAACGCGAATTCAGACCTTTATGTGGAGTGGAAGGAAATTCCGAAGGTGTAGAAGCGGCCACGTAATGTACTTGAGTCAGTAGTCAGTGTTTGTGTTGTCATGAGGAGTGGTGGGTGGCACTGCACACGAGAGTGAGTGCAGCGCCTGGCAATCCTTGTCAGGCATGTTCTAGGCTGTGGGGTGAGAAATCCGCAGAGGTGCTTGGAATTGACCGGTGACGTGGTGATGTTTGGTTGTACTTGATGGACTGGAGTTCACGTAAGCAGATTCTACGTTATTGTAGAGCATTGACAGCAATCTGAGTGTGGCGGTCAAGTGAGCTAGTGATGGGGGCACTAGTTCAGGGGACGTTTGGAGCGTACTGTTAGTTGGTTTGCACGAAGTGGTAAAAATTTCGTCTTTCATCAATAACTTGATTACATCTCAGAGTTATCTTGTGAATATTCTGGATTACGGAGTGTAACCAAAATTATGTCGAGGAATTTTTCTGTAGTAAACCTATACGTAGTTAGGACAGCTTACCAATTTGGATATCGGTTTATTCGGGGTGTTCCATTCCAATGGTGACATTTCTTATTCAATGATCTTTGCTAGATACATGTATATCGTCGCTGTCAATTACAATATTTCAAATAGCTACGTCTTTTCTCTGATTACGACAATGGCAACCGAACTTTTCGTGCTTTGCCTTTTAAATTTTTGTGTTAACGAAAAAGCCACTACTTTTGACAGTTGTCAAAGTGCATGCAGTCCACTTATCTTTGTATCCGGTTGGTTTTTGTTGTCCAGCTTACCTAAAATAGCAGCATAGAAATTTAGTGTATTTTTATGACGCGACCACAATGCGTTGTTATCGTTCACTTTAACTGTAGCTCTATTTCTTTTTAGCTATGCTCAGAGTTATGGAGGCAGTACAGGGCCACGGTAAGTTCCGGGATAAAATATTGTGGTAAGATTGAGTTATCACACTCCTAGGTCCTTCGGTTTCCTGACTTTTATTGGGAATGCGCGTTAAGTGTGAATATCAAGGTTTCTTGTAAAAAAAATTTGTTTGTGAAATAGTAACGGTGCCAAGGGTGTGGCTGCAGTTATTTATTAAGAGCGAGACGGCTTTTAAATGGAATATTCAATCACGAAAGGACCTGTTATGCTCGTGTAAAACATTTTTTAGACACGGAAACCTATTTCGAGCTTGTTATGGGCTTTTAATCTTTTCCTAGCGAGGATTATAAGTAGTGGTAATGTGGAGCCAACTTTGCTGTGCAAGCGCCAGGCAATTTCGGTGACTATCGGTTTTTCTTGTATCACCAAATCCGGAAAATTATTTGCTATCCTAATCTGCTCTTGTGGCAGTCCAGGTTTACACCACTTCAATCTGGCCAAAAATCTGCCCTAACCACTTACTCGATTTCCCTTAGCCCAACGTGTTAATCGACATTTCTTTTGAATAAAGTTTAATGCGTTTATGATTTTTAAAATCTTCCGACTTATACATAAGCTAACGAACAAACTTTGCAGACACATCACGGCAAGCCTGTCATTCTCAAACAAACTTCTCCCCGGAGGAAGAGTTGCTGTAATTGTGGACGTCAAGGTCACACCTCAAATGTAAGTTGTGAAAGTTTGCCTTGGATAAGTCAGTCATCCAATTATAAAAGAAGCCTTCCTAGTTTGCCAACAAAAGCGTATTTGGAGAGGGCTTCTGTGCGCCACTAGCTGTATCTTATTGAAGTGCTGATCATCTCTTTTCCTTGGGTTTTCTTCAGGTCATGGTGTTAAGATTTAGCCAATGCATGTTGCTCAGTTTTTGTAAAAGTATGGACTTCTTGCATATGTCTCCCAGTTTAGAGCCTCTTCCACTACCTTGTAACTAGCGGTCGTCAGGCGGCGCATGTGTTTATCTAGGGAGAGACTCGCTTCGCGTTCCCACCCAGTGCCTCGTCACTCGGTTTTCGTTATTTCTCCGCTTGGAACAATTCGTTTAATTAGACATCGTGGTGGCTGGAGCAGTGCGACTATAGTCAACTCGAGTTTGAGATTTAGTCCATCATCATGATCTTTTCTATGCTTCAGTAAGGGTCGTCTTGCAGGCTTTGTCTGCGTTTCGTTACACAAAACATTCCTTCTATTTGGAATGTGTGTAGCCCTCCACTTTTTAATTACTAGTGTTATACGAGGTTCCTTTTATTCATGAAGAAAGACTGATGTGCTGAAGGGTCACAAGGTTTTTCCCTCCTGAATGCGCTCCTAGATACCGAAGGTATATTTGCTTTTATTTAGGACTGCCGGTGCCCCCCATTCAGCGGTGCGTCACTAGTTAAAACCTCTATTCGGGTTTACGACAAGCACAACGTGTACGCACAAAGAAGGGCTGTGGACCCTTCCAGGACTCTCAAAAAGGTTGGTAGGAGGATGCCCCGTCATAGTCAGCGCCATGAGAACGGTTCCAGCGTTTTGATTGCGGGCAAAAGATCCAGCACCTCCGAACTCGAACATATTTGCTTCAAGAAGAAGCCGAAAATCGTAAAGCGCAATCTGACCAAAACAAAGCGACAAGATGACACACACGGTCTCAGTAAGCTCGAAGTAAAGAAACGGAGGCGGTTAGAAAAAGCAGAAAGGCGGGTTGAACGAAAGTTGTTTGAACAAGTCCTGCATCAGGCGGGATCAACTCGGAAAGTTAGGAAAGGTATGTGGACTACATCGTCTTTATTCAAATTTTCGGTATTGTGCTGAACTTAGTTAGAAAGCATCAACAACATCTAATTAATGTTGTTCTATTTGCATTGCAATATGGCTCCATTTTCGTACAGTGGAGATACCCAGCAAGTGGGTGCATTGCTGCCGTAAGGAAGATGTGTTTCTGCATCCACATAAAAGCACCTCATCTACATCATTTTTGAAACTGGCGTCACTAATTTGCTAGAAACACGTTTTTTTTTCGTATCAATATCCTCGAATGAATGATTTAATTCGCAGTTTGTCATCTGCTGTTATGCTCTTCGTAAGAACTGTTATTAGTAGGAACATAAGCACCACGGCGTATGCTTATTTAAATACTACTAAACTCCGGTGCGATTTATCAATTCCGTTGAAAGCGTATTCTGTCCGTATCTCTGTGTACGACTTCACGACCATTTAGGAACAAATGTATGGTGTTTCATCTTTTTGCAACTTTATTTAGCCTCTTTACAGTCCCTAAGCGGGTTCGATGAGCCTGAGTATTGTCCATTCAATTCGTCCTTGAAGTTTCGTCATAGCCTTCCCCCTAAATTATGTGGACAAACGAGGTACCCTGATGGAAATCCATCCGGCGACAGTGGAAACACAAGGTAAGTCCTCACCACCTGCTCCTGAGTTGATTCTTATTTTCAAGGTGGATCACGGCATAAGTGTGCTATACCACACGAGTGGCACTCTGAATCAGTTTTTTTGTGGTGTCTGGTGTCA